GTACAAATAAATTATCTCTCAATCTTAATCTGAATCAATCACGTATCCATATATGTTCTTTGCAATGACCTTGCTTTCAAATCTAAAAAACAACTTTCCACATGCAATGGAAAACTCTCTCCGTTTCTAAGTATTGAAACTTCTGCAGTCCCCAGTCCAAAACAAATCTACTCCACAAACTGAAAGACACGACCCAAACAAAGGGCTGGTAGAAAGTCGGCAGGTGTTGATGTATGCTGCAATAACACCACTGTCCCTTAATTCTGGAATATTCCCAAAGGCCCTGAAAACTGCAGTCATCAGGTCCCTAATTAAAAAGAGCAGTCTGGATGCTACGGTACTTAACAACTATCGTCCCATCTCAAATCTGCCATTTATGGGGAAAGTCCTTGAAAAAGTTGTCTACCTACAGCTTACCAGATTTCTTATAATCAACAACTCATTTGATATGTTTCAGTCCGGCTTTAGACCCCACCACAGCACTGAGACTGCTCTCGTCAAGGTTACAAATGATATCCGGCTGAACACTGACGCAGGCAAAGTCTCAATCCTAATCCTGTTAGATCTGAGTGCTGCCTTTGACACTGTCGACCATGAGATCCTCTTACAGAGACTAGAGAACTGGGTTGGAGTCGCTGGCACCGCCCTAAGTTGGTTTAGGTCTTACCTTGAAGACAGGAAGTACTTTGTGGAGATTGGAAACTGTGTCTCAGATCATATGGCCCTGACCTGTGGAGTACCACAGGGGTTGATCCTGGGACCTCTTCTGTTCAATCTCTACATGCTGCCGTTAGGTCAGTTAATACGCAGAAACAAAGTGTCCTATCACAACTATGCAGACGACACTCAGATCTATGTCTCACTGACTGCAGGAGAACATGGACCAGTGGACTCACTCCTTCACTGTATCCAACAGATCAGTGAGTGGATGCAAAACAACTTCCTTCAGCTAAACGCAGACAAAACTGAAATGATTGTCTTTGGTCCCCAGAAACAAAGAGAGAGCGTCATCTGTCATCTACAGTCTCTCTCCCTAAAACCTTCAAACAAGGTCAGAAATCTAGGGGTAATACTGGACTCAGACTTAAATTTTAATAGCCACATCAAATCAGTAACATCAGTAGCTTTTTACCATCTAAAAAACATTGCCAGGATCAAAAACATAGTGTCTAAAGCAGACTTGGAGACTTCCAAAGGGAAGCTGAAATTCATACAAAACTGGACCAAAAAATGTGTGATGAAAGTTGTCAGTTTTAGCTCAGGAAGTGTGTCTGTCTCATTGTTGTATGATGGAATTCTGGCTTGATCAAATATTAGATCAAATGTGAGTGATGAAATAGTGAGACCTTTGTTTGGTTTCTTCCACGGCACGTTCCGAAAAGGAATGTGAGAGAAGTTTGAGACGACCGAGAGCCGAGCTGATAACGCCTCAGTGTCGAGGGAAACACTTTTTATTGAATCAAAGACCAAGCTGTGTTGATATTTCTTTATTCAGACGGAAAGGAGACAGGAGTAGACTTTTTTTTTACAAAGCAAGGCCACAGGATGATATATGTCGTGTTTAATTCTTTACATACATGAAGCACTTCCTACGCCATGTTGTTCAGTGCTCCCCGAGGGGGGCGTGACTGTTTACATCTGAGGCTTCTGAGAACAAAAGAAATCTTCTTCCATTCTTATTATTGTTGTGTACAAGCCGCCACAGTCATGCCATAGTTTCACTGATCATTTCACTGAGTTGCTTTCAGTTGTGTGCACAGATTTTGATGGTTTAGTCATTATAGGTGATTTCAATATTGAATTACTTGACTCTGTCACCACCAATGTTTTGAATGTTCTGGATACAATTGCTCCTGTAAAGGTTAAAATAGTTACAAACAAGCAAAAAGCGCCATGGACTAAAGCAGACTCGGTCAGGGCACAGAAGAGAGAGTGCCGGAAGGCCGAGCGGAAGTGGCGAAAGTCAAATCTCAAAGTTGACCATGAGATCTTCAAAGATGCGTTGTGCAATTTTAACAGGGAACTACGTAGAACGACGGAAATGTACTTTTCTGAAACTATTGAAGGCTGTAGCAACAATCTACGTGTTCTGTTTTCAACAGTAAATAGATTGACGAATCCCCCTGTTAAGATGCCATCAGAACTTACTTCCAAATCTAAATGTAATGAGTTTGCTCAGTTCTTTAATGACAAAGTCCAAGGTATCAAAAACGCCATCACCTCCACGATAGAAATAATAATCCAACCGCCAGTGAGGCTTTTTGGGCTGACGCACTTTACACCAGTACAAATTGAAACTGTCCAGGAGATAATCACTAGTCTGAGTTCCTCCACATGCAGCCTGGATGTATTACCTCCTAGATTTCTCAAGTCAGTTCTGAGTAGTCTTTGACCTTCACTTACACAAATAGTTAATATGTCTCTTGAATCTGGAACATTCCCAATGGCCTTGAAAACGGCGGTCATCAGGCCCCTCCTAAAAAAGAGGAGTCTGGAAGCCCTGGCACTCAAAAATTATCGGCCCATTTCAAATCTGCCTTTCATGGGAAAAATTCTAGAAAAAGTTGCCTATCAACAACTTACAGAATTTTTAATAATCAATAACGCTTATGATATGTTCCAGTCAGGGTTTAGACCCCACCACAGCACTGAGACCGCGCTAATAAAGGTAACAAATGACATCAAACTAAACACTGACGCAGGAAAAGTCTCAGTCCTTTTTCTGTTAGATTTAAGTGCTGCTTTTGACACTATTGACAATCATGGCATCCTCATTCAGAGACTTGAGGACTGGGTTGGTGTTGCTGGCACCGCCCTAAGCTGGTTTAGGTCCTATTTACAAGACAGAAAGTTTTTTGTGGAGATCGAAAACTGTACCTCAGACCACTTGGCCCTGACCTGCGGAGTGCCACAGGGGTCAATCCTGGGTCCTCTTCTGTTTAATATTTACATGTTGCCTCTAGGTCAGTTGATTCACAGTAATAATGTCTCTTATCACAATTACGCTGACGATACTCAGGTCTATGTGTCCCTGACAGCAGGAGAGCATGAACCAGTGGACTCGCTCCTTCACTGTGTCCAGCAAATCGGTGATTGGATGCAAAATAACTTTCTCCAACTAAACACCGACAAAACTGAAATAATTGTTTTCGGACCCCAGAAACAAAGAGAGAGCGTTATTTGTCACCTCCAGGCTCTCTCTCTACAACCCTCAAATCAGGTCAGAAATCTAGGAGTGATAATGGACTCAGACTTAAATTTCAAAAGCCACATAAAATCTGTAACATCAGCAGCTTATTACCACCTAAAAAACATTGCTAAAATTAAAAACATAGTGTCTAAGGCAGACTTGGAGACTCTTATACACGCTTTTGTCTCCAGTCGGTTAGACTATTGCAATGGCTTGTTCACAGGTCTCTCCAAACAGGCTGTAAAACAGCTGCAGTACATTCAACATGCAGCAGCTCGAGTCCTGACTAGAACCAGGAAGTACGACCACATTAGTCCAGTTCTCAGGTCTCTGCACTGGCTTCCTGTTCCTCAGAGAATAGACTTCAAAGCAGCTTTACTTGTGTACAAGTCTCTCCATGGTCTCGCGCCAAGGTACATCCACGACATGTTTGTGCCATATGAACCGACCCGGACTCTGAGGAGCACAGGGACTGGACTCCTGTTAGTGCCCAGAGTCGGTACTAGACATGGGCAAACTGCATTTCAGATTCATGCGGCTAGAGTCTGGAACCGTCTTCCTGAGAATGTGAGACAGGCGTCTACTCTGGCATCTTTTAAATCTAGGCTCAAAACAATTCTGTTTAGCTGCGCATATACAACTGAATGATTTTATCTTTTCATCTTTGTTTTTATCTTTAATCTTTTTAATGCACTGTGACTATTTATGATTTTAGTCCCATCTGTAATTTTAATGTTTAAAGGTTTTTAATTTTTGTGATTTTATTTTTAATGTTTTTAATATATCTTGTGCTCTTAATGTGTTTGATTTATGCATGATGTGATAGGGGATGTGAAGCGCTTTGCGTTGCCTTGTGTAGGAAAGGCGCTCTACAAATAAACGTTGATTGATTGAAGCACGGTGTGAGAATGCTTCAGGGGATTTGTCACATGGTGAAAACAGAAAGAAGGACTCAAAATGCAGGACTGACAAAAACGGACAAGATTTAAACCACAAAACTCAAAAATAACAAGATTTGGGACATAACAAAACTCAAAACGAAACGAAACAGGGACAAAAACACAATGGACCAACAACAAGGACAGAGGTTTAAATACACACATGGACACACAGGTGAAAGACATGAGGGTGGGGCAGGCTAACAACTGAACAGACATGATAAAACACCAATATATCAAAATAAAAAAAAACAGGTAAAAAGGTCAGGACTAAGGGGAGAACCTCTAGATATATTTATTTCATTCTGGACCAGTAGGAGCAGTGAATTCACCAGATTGTAGCTGTGTGGCTAATCTGCATCTGTAGTCCCACAATCACACACTTATTCAACCCTCACCTATTGTGCATGCTTTTTTTGCCAGAGCACCTAGAGAAAACCTGCATTGACACAGGGAGAACATGCAAACTCAACTGTGTCACCTAGCTGCAGGGTTCAAAGACCTCACTGTAAATATTGTTTTTAAAAATATAAAAAATGTCTTTTTATGGGCCAAAAATTGGGGGGTCCATGTGGTTTAGGAGAAAGACATTACCAACATGAAGAAGATAGTACAATTCCGCTCTCTGTTTCTGAAGCGAGAATATCAAAAGCATATACAACTAGGATGCAATCATTTACTTTACAAACCACATCCTTAAATTACTGTTATTTGGCATCCACTTTGTCTACTGGGAGATGTGAAAGCAAGCCTCTTTCCCTTCCCATGCCCGCACCATCTCCTCTCTGTGTGCCCGGCCTCCCGCTAATGTCCGTCGCAGCTTTGATGTGAGACAACAGAACAATCCAGTGAACTGATTAGACCCACACTGTCTACCTGCTTCTCAGTACGACCGTCTGTCTCCTCAGAAAAGCACGGGAGATGGGTGGTTCCCTGCTGGTGATGGCCTTGTCCTTGGATGGTGCCAAGGGCATTCTGTGATAAACCCGACACTGGCGAGGTCCTTCCTGAATACGTCAGAGAACATCAGGAGTCTCCCAGGACTCGTCAGAGATACAGTAGGCTATTGTTGTGGCGGCGGCTTGGGAAAGGCCTCACGCGTGCAACACCGCTGCTGCTGTCACAATCACAGACGGAAGTGGAGAGTTTTCGTCGGACAGTGGTGGAGCCGGTCTCAGAAGACAACATCTGTGTTTTGCTCCATTGACAGATTTTGCATTTGTATTCTGGAGAACTTTTCAGGCTCTAAAATAAAAATGAAATAGAACACAGTAGTTATTTTGGAGGACTTTACAGTTGATTTGCCAAGACAGATTCAAGAATTAAACAGTTTGAACACAAGAAATGCAATGATAAAAAAACATATAGAGCCATTGGTCCATAAGGGTTAGATGAAAAATGTCCATAAATGTTGATAAAGTCTTGGATCATCACCACTGTCCTTAGACCCTCCTGCTCCTCCTGATTTTCCTGGTTAAAGTTTCTTTGTTTACGGACAATGTGTAGTTACTTAAGAAATGTGGCTGCACCAGATTTAGCACCATGCTACTTTCCATCTGTAGTCCTAGACGATACAATCACATAAGTTGCATATTAAAAGGTATATAGGAGGATTTTCCCACATTTTAGGAAAGAACCACCCTCTCCACTTTTTGAACAAAACTCTCTGGTCTTATTTGACAAGCACGTATAACCGGAATGATTGACAACTGGGAGGACCAATAGTCATGATGATCCACCCAGAAGTTGAAAATCCTCCTATATACCTTTTAACATACAGTTCAAATAAAAAGTGCAGGTTACTAAAATACATATAAAAGTACAGTTCTATAAAAGGACTGTGGTAACTATGGTGTCCACTGCACTTTTACTGAACATAAGTCTTAGTTAAGAGCTTGTTTCTCTCACTTCCATATCCTGTTTGTCAGCACATATCAACTATCTTTTCATTATATACAAATAAACTTGCATTGCCATAGTTGAAAATGAGTCAAAACTATCTGAAAAAACAAGCAGTAGAAGCAATAACCACTAAATCTCCCATTTTAGCACCACCTAGCAAAATCTAGCCTGGGACTCATCTCATGATCATGTATAATTCCTTACAATACGCAACACTGACCTGATTGAACTGCTAATAACCCACAGCCCGTCAGGGAGAGTACTTCCTGAATTCCGAGTGTCAGCTTGACTACGGAGAAGAGTGGAAATGAGCTGACAATGCAGAGGTGGACTGGGACTGCGGGCGGGTGGCAGCGTGTCTGTGGACGCAGGATCTTCTCACACATTGGGCCCAATAGGAGTCCGCTTCTCCCGTGGTGAAAACGCTCCGGCCTTTTTTCGAAGGAAGGAAACAATCTGGAGAGGCTTCCACGCATTGTGTGTTATTGTTCACCCCGAGAAGCCGTGTGCCCAGTTACAGCAGTCTGAGTCTATATTTAACTGGGAGTGATAGGAGTAGAAGTATGTAAACTAAGGTCAGGTGTGAGTATGTTTACTGTAATAATGAATTTCCGGAAGCACTAGGAAATTAATCATGGTATAATTAGTTGTCCGTGTCATTTACTCATTAAACATGTCTTTAGCGACTCAAGCATTCATGATCTCGTTTCTCCAGTACTGAGAGCGATCAGTCCGGAGCAGTGGGCTCGCTATTGCTGCTCCAGGAAAGAGCGTCTGTCCTGTTTGGTTGGAGCAGGCATGGGCAAACTTTTACTCCTGAGAGCCACACTGGAATATTGGCCTGCTGTTGGGGGCTGGAGCTATTTTCTAATGTTATTCTTAGGATTTATTTTTTGCATGCAAATAAATATATATACTGTACTGTATATATGATTTATCAAAAAAAAAAATGAAAATATGTCAAAAAGTTGTATTAAAAGTGTGGTTACTGGCAGTAAATTTGATTTGATTAGATCCCCCCTCACTCTGTAATCTGACTGTACTATGCAAGTGTAGGAAAGACAATAGCTGGTAGATCAGAATCAATCCAAAACAAATGTATTTCTATTGCCATTTTAAGTAACAGGAAGTAACGAGCTAGGATTTTCTTTGGCTCAAGGTGCAAACAAGTCAAGAATGATTTTTTTTAGAGTTTAAGGGAGCCATGATTCAACAAGTGATTCTGCAGAGTTTTCTCCCATCCCAGGAAGCTGCTATAATTGAGACAGACTCAGATCCAGCTCTGGGTAAATATAAACATAGAGGCAACATTTTCCAGAAGTGACAGCATTTGATTCACGCAAGAGCTGTTGTGAAAGTGTCCTATCAAACTCTAAGGCCATTTTTTTTACAGAAGACTCAATAGATCTGAATCTGCAAAACGACGTATGCTTTTTCCAAGTGAACCGTGCGGCCTACAGTATATAGGGTTGCGAACAATGTATGAAGAAAGAAAGGGCTCTATCAGCTGTTGATCTACAGACGCCGATGACATAGCACCCCTTCCTGCTTCCTGGTGTTTATGTGAACAGCAGTTTTTGTAGATTTTGTGTGTTTGTGTAAAGTCTGAGTGTTTGCATAGAGCAGGGGTGTCCAAACCTTTTCGTAGGAGGGCCACTTTAGTTCACCAGACTTGTCCAGGGGTTGACAACATTTTATAACTGCTTTTACTACTTTGGGCTTTAAAATTACGTATGATATGCTTATATTTAATAACAAAGCATCTACACTGGTGCAATTTTGGGGCACAATTGAAAGTATATATAAATAATGGCTAAGTGACGAGTTGCAGCATGACTATATCGGTGGAGTGGAAGTTGGCTGGATGACTCTGTGAAAGTGCCTCAATGGGTAGTTTGTATTAGCAAGGAAGAGGGCCACATACAACAAAGTAGTGGGCCTCATTTGGATCGTGGGCCTTGGTTTTGGACATGCCTGGTGTAGGGTCTGTGTGTTTGTGTTTGTAGGCGGCACAGTGGCTGAGGGGTTAGCTCACTCGATTCTCAGCAAGAAGGTCCTAGGTTCGAATCCTGGTCAGGACAGGGCATTTGTGAGTGGAGTGAAGGTCTGAATGTGATGAGTGATTGATTGATTGGGGCTTTGATGCACCAGAGTGTTCGGCGTCCCGCTTCTGTCATCATTGTGTGTGGAGAGAATGGACAAATATCTGAACTCTGAACATTGCAAAGCGCTTTGGGTGACCTTGGTCTGTAAAAATGCGCTATATAAATAAACATTACTTACTTACTTTCTAAAATGCGCTATATAAGTACATATTATATATGTACATATATGTGTCTCTAGAATTCTGCTGCTTATTGACTGTCAGCTGTTTTTGCGGATTTCACTGATTCCCAAGACCCACAGAATATTATTTCCTAAGACTATGTGAAATGTCAAACCAGATTCTGAAAGACTGGATTGTCTACTTTGATAAGCAAAAATATTTTTTATTTTTAGCTATTTTTTACTGTCCTGTAATCTCCAGTCGAATTGAGGGTCTCAGACAAATGCTGTCAATGAGTTTCCAAATCTTAAATCTGAAGCACGTACTGTAATTCCATTCTCCAGTAATACTTCCTTGTTGTTGTATTTTTGCTCAGATATTGTCCTCCTCCAGGTTCCACCGCTTGAATCCCTCGTGCTTGAGTTGATATCCTTTTGTCCATAAGTAACTGTCTCTCCTTCCACAAATCCATTTAAGACCCTGGATGTGTCGCTGAATAGCAAAAGCGTTCCCATTCAGTCCCGCTGGCACCACGCTGGGCCCGGAGATCACTGTGCCAAGCCTCCAGCACAACACTACACCCCTCCATTCTCATTTCTCAGACGGTAAATGGACCCGGTGGCATTTGGTTTAACTCCAGGCTTCGTACCGGAACAGGTCATTTGAAGACAGAATGATGATGCAGCTTTCACAAAGTCTAAAGATCATTTTTTATCTGACAACATATTTCAATTACAAATGGAACGTTTGTGTTTGTTATGATGTGGATGAGTGATGACTATTTGTGTTTTTTCCCTCGCCGATGCAGGACGATCCAGGACACTCGACATTCAACAAGATTTATGGACATTTATCAAAATTAATATACAATGGTCTAATTATAGCTAGTCTCAGATCCAATCGTTTCAATCTGCAAAATTAGTTGACTCCTCCCACCTGTTAACGCAGCTCAATGGAGCAGATCCAGACTGTAGTACCAAATGAAATTAGTATGATGGTGTGGTAAGACCAGGCTAAAGCTGTGAGACAATTATCAACATTATAAAAAATAAAGGCTTAAAGGTAAAGGTGCACTTTTCTAATCCCCGTAGGGCAATCCTCTGCATTTGACCCATCCTGATGCCGCTAAGGCTTAAGTCAGGAGCAGTGGTCGCCGTAGTAACAGCGCCCAGTTACCCATCTCCAGATGTTGATGCTCGGCTTGGTCAGGACTACCCGAGCTGGAGGATTTACCTAGTGTGGTACGGGAAACAGGAGTACCTTACGCAAGCACAGGAAGAACATGCAAACTCCACTCAGAAAGACCCTGTTCTGACTGGGATTTGAACCCAGGACCTTCTTGCTGAGAAGTGAGAGTGCTATCCACTCAGCCACCATGCCGCCCTTGGCTTAAAATACTGTATCTCACTTTGCATGTAATGAGTCTGAATCTGAATTGTAAATTTGCAAGCGTTGCATGTAGGGATACGATTATTTTAATAAACTTAAACACCTAATTCAAGAAAGATGTTAAAGCGGAAAAATAGGCTATTGGTAATTTGGAAAGTTTCTCTTAAAAAATAAATTACGTCACGCAATTTATTTATACAGTGGTATTGTTACATAAGTTCTTGTGTTATGCACTGTAAAAAAAAAAAAGTTGAGTCAACTTAAAAAAGTAAAGCAACCAGCTGCGAAGCTTTTTTGAGTTCACTCAACTTTCAAGATATATATTGAGCAAAATTAAAGGAGGAAGTTGGGAACATTTCCTGTTGTGTTTAAATCCCACTTATCTCAATAATTACAAGGGAATACAAATTTTAAATCAGTCCAACTAAGAATAGTAACTTGACCAACTTGACAATTAAACATTTGCTGGACTTTAAACAAAAAGTTGGTTCAAATATCAATTGTTAATTCATCCAACTCATTCTAGAAAGTTGAAACAAGTACAATGTTAAGTTGGGTGAACTCAACGTTTTGCACCTGGTGGCTTTACTATTTTAAGTTGGGTCAAATACCAATAATTAATTTCTCAAACTAATTTTAGAGAGTTGAATCAAGTACAATCTTAACTTGTTAACTTAGGTTGAGTTAACTCAAAAAAGCTTCGCAGCTGGTTGCTTTACTATTTTAAGTTGAGTCAATTTTAGAAACTAAGTTCTGAGGATTAACATTTACAATTTAGGCAATTCCTTGTATCAAAGACACATTCCACAGAATGCTGAACAATTTAAATATCAACAGATAAAATTACTACTATGGGTCCCCTTAAAGCATCACAAGAAAAACAAGATTAACATGAGACATTTATTAAACATGTTAATTAAAACTGTCTCCCCAGAGTTTGCACGGACCACAGGCTATTTTTAAAAGCACTGTCATACACATCATCAAAAGACAAAAACGAAATTTAGTCTTAGTGTTAGGATTCAGGCAGACAGAGACGGATCGTGGTGTGCCAAACTCTGGAAGTTTATTTACGTTTCTCTCAAGTTCCACTGGTTTACTCTGTTTCCTTCCCTCAGACAGAATAAAGGCAGTACACAGTTTATATAGTCATTGTCACGTCACACATCGAAAGACATACGTGTCACAAAGAGACAGTCACATCATAGTCATAACATGGAGTCCTTGTAGAGTCCTGCACAGTCCTGCACGTAGGCCATATTGCTATCTAATACTAATATTAGTTTCTGTCAAACAAGTGTTAAACATTGTAAAGTACAATCATTTTACAGCAGCAGTGGGTGACCTGAAACTACATTCAATCCCATCAAAATAGAACAATATTTCACAGCTTCAACAATGAAAACGTTCAACATGGCTAAGTGCAATTATTTAACAGCAGCAAGTTCTCATTAAAAAAAATATATATGTATAATGTATATAAAAAGACTTTTGAACCACCAGGAAGTTCTGGTACATTTACACGTTAATACATTAACATTTTGTTTTTGAAGGTTTGCACTCTCGCTGAGCATTTGGTATCCAGGCACATGAACAACTTCTGAATCGTTTCGAACGTGTATTTCAGTTCCTTTGGGTACGCCATGTTCAGGGCATACACAAGACCGAACAGGAGTGCAACTGCTGTCGGCAGGTCACTTACTTCATCAATGACTATCTGTTCCTCAAGCACCACAGTAAAGAACCTCGCGTTTGGGATTGAGTCAACAGTCCCAACATCATCCTCAACAATGGTTAACACTCCCATCTTCATGCCACCAACATGATTTTCTCGAGGCTGCATGTCCTGTTTGAAAAAAAGTCAAATTTAGCACACTAAAAAGTATAACATCAACAGTTAATAAAACAGTATGGTTCTAGTCGTTCGCATGAATATGTCCTTTTTCCTTTTCTCTTTGAAAAAGCTTCAAAAAGTCACTCACAGGGCATGTGTAAAATATGTAATGTTTTGTAATAAACACATGTCATCTTAATCTTATTAACATAGAGACAGCATGTTGAAGTTATATATTTTCCCCCAAAATGTTAATTTAGGTTTCAATAGGGATAAATAACATGTATTTTGGAAACAAAAATATAGGTACTCCAGCTTTAAATAGTAGCCCTCTTGTGACATAATTACAAACAGATTTTGCAAATAAACGTTGGGCCATCAACCCCAATCTCAAATTGGCTACTTGCACAAATCCCATAATACTTTGCGCTCTTGAGGGGGTAGCGCCCATATAGCTCCCATGAAGTTGTGTGGAAACTGATTTTAATTTTCATAACAACATTCGAAAATAAAGTTAGTTTACCATTAGAAAATAAAAAAAACTTGCTATTGGCAAAACTATTGTTTGGAACTGTAATATTCTGAAGAATGCCCTGGGATCAGAGCCTCAGAGAGACACCCCTCTGCTTATTCCGGGCTTTGGTGCGCAGAGTGGGGTTCTGTGGAGAACAGCCCGGCTTTAGTGGACTCTGCTCTGCTGGATGTTGTCTTTGAAAACAATCAACGCACTGGATTAGGATTTATTTATTGTCATTTATTAATGAAGATTATAGACCTACATCCATATTTGTGGGACTGGATTTACGCGAGTCATGCGTAATCAAGCACGTGCATCGCCCCAAGCATGTCCTGCCTGAAGCAGGACATGCTCAATTACTGCATATGGGGATTGTCCTCAGTTGGGCCCGGCTCACTCCCTGTGATGGGCCAGTCCTTTACGCGCACAACTTTTTGTGAAACGGGCTGTTCTGTTCTGCTAAATGGCTCCACAGAACCCCACTATCTGTGCACCAAAGCCAGGTATAAGCAGAGGGGCGTCTTTTTGAAGAATGCCCCTGGGTAAGAGCATCAGAGTTCCACCGTTCCGAACAGTTTTGCTAATAGCAAGTTTTGTTTTTAACAATAGCAAACAATTTTTTTTGCTTTTCAAAAAGAAAATCTGTTGGCCAGCAAGTACACACAGACAATTATCTATGCTCATCACTTAGTTTTCAGGCCTTGACATTAAGCTTTCTCAGCCACTTGCCCGAAGGGTAAGTACCATTTATATTTTACTTGCCCAATGTCAAAAGTTGCTTGCCCAAATATTTCTCAATACAATGAGTTAACAAGAGTTTGGCAATAAAGGGGCACTAACTGTGAAGAAAAAAAAAAAAAAAAAACCTACTCTCAGCCTAAAAAGTCAAATAATGACTCCCAGAGCTCTTAAGTATGCAAAATAAAAAACAAGACGCCTGTCGTGGTGTGTTCTGTTTGATTTGTTCACAAAATTTTCCTTTTGTGGCCAACCAACATGCATTTTTAATGCAAGGGGAAATTTAGGTACCCAAGCTTTAATTTTGTGAGTTTTGGTTTCGCATAGGTAGGAGACCAGCACTTGCAACAAGCTGGGGATGGTCCTGAACGCGTGTCTATGGTTCTGTCCGCGTGACTCTATGGTTCTGTCTGCACTTCTATGGTCCGCGCTCATAGAAGTATTCAAAGCGGCTGTCATTACAAAGCGGCAGTAGGTGCTCCCAGGGTCAGAACGGAGGATGCAAATATTGTTCGAGTACGTACAGCAAACAACAGAAAGTGCCCGCGGTCACACATTTCACAGAAATGACATTGTCAGCGGAAAACAGTCGGGAATTGCGGATCCTTGGGAAATTTTGAAGATAATTGATCAAAAAAGAAATGCGGCAATGCATTCCCGCATTGAATGGGTTAAAGTAATACTTCACTTGCCCGATCGGGCAACTTGCAAAAACAGCGCACTTGCCCGTCCCAAATCTTTAGTTGCCCCGGGCAAGCGGACAACCGTTAATGTTGAGCCCTGGTTTTATCATAATTTGAAGGCGAGTGATCGCTACTTACAAACTACTTTAGAAAAGCTTGTTTCTAACGTTTGAAGAAACAAATTTAAAATACCGCAAACCATGAGTATTTCCAATCTTAATTCAGTAAGAAAAGAAATGTATTTTACCTTGGCCCATTGCATGATTAGTGTTTCTCTGATGTAAACAAGTCATAAAAAAGTATTACTCACCAGACAGGTTCTCAGGAAACTTTTAGACTCATCCCTCATGATCAACGGCAGACCTTTAAGAGCAGCAGATTTTCGGTGGGCAAGTACTTCTGTGGTCTGAAAAACATAAAATAAAATTCTAAATATCAAAAAGGACCTGTGGACTATGAGTGGGATACTGTACTGTGTTCTTTGAAAACCCCAGAACAACAGATTAATCTGAACTTTTACCTAAAATCCATTTTAACACAAATTAAGTGCAAGCCTGATGCGATCTGCACTTTGTGCCATGGTGGAGATACTGGGACCTTCTTGCACATTCTCTGAGAATGTCCTGGTGTGGCTCAGGTCTGGGAGATGGTGGCCTCTGAACTGTCCTCCAGTAGTGCCCTGCTCTACCCTGGTGCTCCTCCTGAATCTCTTGGCTTGGACATTGTGTATTTGTTCCTTTTATTTAGTACCATGTACCCTCGCCGCACACCGTTCCAATGCTGTGTGTGTAAAGAAAATGTCAAAGGATAGTCACCTGATCGTCAAGATTCTCCAACAGGGTCTTCATATCTTTTCCCCACAGCGCAGCACGTGCCCTGTACAACCTGATAATCTTAGGCGCATACTCATCCAAAGATGAGAAGAATCGGTTCATCAGGTGGGTTTGTGTGATCCGGAAAAATTCAGCAGAAATCTGAAGAGAAAAAACAAAAAGAAAATTACTTTTAGATTACTACCAGTAAGTATTTACTTATTACTACCAGTAATAACTCACCTGTTCAGGCAAAAACAATGCGGGCCATTGTCTCTGGACATCCAAGACAAGAGGCTCTTCCATCACAATCTCTTTTCTTCTGAGGGAAAAAGTCATCTCCATCTTGGACTCCACAAATGCCATATTTGGATATTTTTCTCATTTCTTCACAGAGTGCCTCTTTTTCTTTTAGGAGAGATGAGTCTGACAGTCCATTTGGGTTGTCTGGGAGATAGTTGGCCTCACATCGCTTGGCTTTCTTAAAACATCTCGAGTCACTCCCCACACTCCTCGGTCTTTTCCTATTTACAGATACCTCTGAACATCCAGCTGATCGCAACTTTTCACGGAAGTTGCCCATTTTAAACTTAATGCTCATAGTCCAGCTATTATAGCCACTTCCTGGGCCTGGATCTTTCAGACAAGGATATTTTGCTATCAAAGCAGCAGCCACAAACTCGATCTGCTTTATACTTGGATAGGCAGTGAATGTAAACATTTTCTGGGCCAGAGAATTGAGTATTTCAATCTCTCATCTCTCTTGACATTGTGAGGAGAAGCTTTCCATTTTCTTCAAATTCCTTATTTGCTCTATTGAGACGTAGTTCTACATCATAAGCAAACTCCGGAATCTCAAATTCAGGTGGCCACTGTGAATTTCCCCGTTGCTTGACTGACACACTTGGTGAATTTTGCGCTGAGCTGCTTGAAGAGGAGGGCATGCTGGCTGTGTCTAAAGAGGAAATTGTGTCGGCATCTGAATCAGAGAACTTCTGGATGATCTTCAGCACAGCTCTATCACTTGGAAGTTGTGTTATTTCAGTTAAATTACAGAGCTCATTTCCAAAGTCTGGATCCTCAAATTGAATTACAAAGTCATTTTTTATTTCAACACCTTCCTTAAGGATTTCTTTCAATTGTTCAACTGAAGTGAGCTCTTCGGTAATATCCAGTCTTCTGATGTTGTCAAGGGCCAAAATCACGCGTAGACGCACCATCTTCAAAAACAGAAAACAGAACAGTGTTAAAAAAAAACAAAACAAAAAAACAAAGTAAAGCCAACATTTTTAAACTGAAAGAAACCTCTTCACTGCAATCATGTTCTTTCCCTGAACTACATACAGTGGGAGTGGATGAAAATTAGGGCTGGGCGATAAAACGATAACGATATATATCGCGATAGACATGTGTTCGATATCAATAGAGAATGGGGTCGATAGAATGTTCGATAGTTTAACTTAACTCCGTCAGGAAAAACAGGAAGAAAACACCGGAAGTAAAGCCGACTCATAAGCGCATGGCATTGTGGGGGATGTAGGCAGAGGCTTCTCGACCAATAACAGCCGAGCAGGAACCGCATAACTTTCTGGGAAATGCAAAAACACCAACAACCGCAGCATGCGTGGCGTCCATGGATCTATAGCTCGTGTTTCAATGCCGTGTCAATGGTTATGCACGTACGTGCGCGGAATAACATGTGCGGCGGCAGAGGCAGTGGACAGACCCGATGTATTCGGCGAAAGCAAGAGATTAACTTTTTCCTCGGGAAGCATGTGCGGCACAGAGCCACACGGAGCGGCCACGGGGACACAAGACCCTCAAACAGCTAAACCAGGAGCTAAACCAGGAATAAAAAACCAGGATTAAACCAGGACTAACAACGAGGGACACAGTGTGAACATATTCCTCCAGCCTCATCGCCCCGTGACTGTAAACAAGGCTGCTAAGGTTGGTTAGCCCACACGACAAATATATATATTTAGGTTTAAAAAAAAACTCAATATATATCGTTGACCGATATGAATGACTTATATCGTGATATAGTTTTCAGCCATATCGCCCCGCCCTAATGAAAATCATTCAAGTCTTCCAGCTGCATTCATTTCACCAACAGCATAACATCTGTAGTGCTCATCGTAGCATGAAGAAAGCCTCTTGCAAAGAAAAGACGCCATGTTTGCATTCACGATAACAGTGACAATTTCAAAAAATTCAGGCAATCCGCCTAACTGACCAGAGGACAAAATCATGCCATTACTGAAGTGAATCCCATGGACCTTTACACCAGATGCAAGCATCAGCACCTCTTTGTTGGGATATTTTCTCTTGACTGCAGCCCCATAAGTTTCCTGTAAAGTACATGTTCTCACAGTTTTTACTTTTTGCACAGATAGTGGTGGTGAAAAGATACTGGGACCATTGAGATAATGTGCAATCATAAGCTGATGTTTGGATGCCAATGTAAGTGGAATGTTTTTAAAATTACGGGCATCTTTCACAACCCCTTTGAAATAGCTATGTTTCGCTTCAAATCTCATTGTCCAAAGCTCAACCAAGGGCCCAAAACAGCGGATCAAGTGTGGATAATGCTCCACAAAGTGATGCTTTGGTTTCAACTTCAGGTTGGGAAATGTCTGTTGAATGTCTGTTGAGGCCAGCTTGGCCTCAAGTTCCAAATAACTTGTGGGCTCTGAGTAAGTGGCAGTTTCAGGTACATTGCTCTCAGCAACACAGGACTGTGATTCAGGTATCTGTACTTGACTGGTGCCTTGTAATTGCGATTGTGTCTCTGTACTTTCTGAACGTGGAGTTTGAGATGTCACTCTAGTACTGAAATTGTCAAATCCATAAGACTTGTGTTTGCGTGATATGTGGCTGCTAAACGAACTGAGAACATTGGTTTTCAGGTTACAGTCCTTGAATGGGCATTGGACTGTGTCACAACTCTTCAAATGATTTCGTAAATGTTTTACAAAATCCAATGGCTGGCAGTCATTTTTTAAATCACATAAATCACATTTAAAATGGAAGTTCCCAACATCTGAAATGGCCGCCTTATGCGCCCTGCTAAGATGAGATTTTAACGCACCTTTTGTTTTAAATGTGCAGACGCAATCCGCATACACACAGGGTTGCTGCCAGGATCAACCTTGATAGTGATGTAGCCTGTAATGTTTCAGAAGGACGTCCAGAGCACTGTGGTCAAATGTGCACAGCTTGCAATGCATTACAACCTGAAAAATATAAAAATATATGAATTATTCACAATTTTGTAGAGTAGAAAATAAGATAATTATCTATAAAATGTATACGTATTATTTATTTATTTATCTGAAATGGCACAGTAAAAATTTAACAAACAACGAACCAAGCCTCAATGTAATGGGTCAGTTAGCATAATAGATAAATATGCATTACGTAAGCAAAGGACTGTAAAATAATAATATTTATTTATAAATATCCATCCATCCATCCATTTTCTTCCCCTTAATCCATTTCTAGGTCAGGGGGGCTGCAGTCAGAGCTGCACCCAGTCACAGAGCACCAGCCCCTCACTGATCCTCCTGCAGGTGCTGAGTCCACAGGAGCCTTGATCTTTCAGCAGGGGCTTCAGGCAAAGTGGGGTTAAGTGTCTTGCCCAAGGACACAACGACAGCAGTCATCGGTTGGAATCGTGAAGTAGGTCTTACGGTGGGCTCGAACTCACAACCTTCAGGCTCTAAGGCCAATGCTCTACCAACTGAGCCACTGTCGCCTTATTATTTATAAATAATATTGTCTAAAACAATGGTCAAATCACAAACCTGTACAGTATATATATATTTCAGTTAACTGTAAAATAGTCATTGCATTAAATCACCAATGTATATATGATAATGCAATATTTATCTTTTGTAATAACCCATTCCAAATAGCCTTCCACACAGACATTTTACTGTCCTTCAAGCACAATCTTAAATATTTTATAATATAAAGCCACGTATGTAAATGTATATGTAAAATAATATGTTCAGAAAAACACATGCAGGGATCAAAGTTAAGACTTTTCTGTGGCGTGTTTGTCCACTACTTATCGCGCACAGGAGAAAGCAACAGGTCTCTGACTGGCGCTGAGAGCATCTGTGTGCGAGAGAGTGCGTGCACGTCAGTGTGTGTGTATGCAGGGGCGCGCGGGCGCCACGTGAACAAGCAGAAGCCCTATACTGAGCGTGATCGCGGACAGGTGGCTTTATCCGTGCGTAAAAGGGGCCTTTACCTCGGACTCGTCACGTTTGGCAGCGCGGATGATGTGCTCAGAGCTCAAACAGTAAAGTGTGCAGCTCTGGGTGCGCTGACGCCGCGAAAGTTAATGCCAAAGCGAAATCGAAACTGTTGCTGCTCCGTGAAAAATGGCCACGGCACGCACGGGGAACGAGTGTCAAAAGCACACGACATCATTACACTAATCAATTGTTGTAACAGACCGATTCGAGACGTGCATAGAATCACACAGCCTAATGAGAGTCCACTTGAACATGCTGAAAACTATAATGGCGCCGACCGAGGGAGGCTCATACAAATATACACAATCCAGACTTTCACAGCAGATTCACGTACATTAAGTTTTCAGACGTCGAAACCAGATCGTTTATTACATGAGGGGAGGACAAATTACAGAGGCTTACTACTTGCAATAGTACAAGTAGCAATGATAATAGTAGCAAAAGTAACGAGCCATACTACTCTAAGAATTTTGAAAAAGCGTGGGTGATTCGGAGAACCAAGCGATGTAAACGCATATTAGGTCATTTGACAGAAAACCGTGTTTCAGAAGATAATGTTCCTTACCTGGGAGATAGGGTGGGTAGAGTTCAATGGCTGCTTCTCTCTGGCACATGGTGGTGTGGTGGGGCGGAGCTTGTGGAAACTGCAGGGGCGGAAACCCCCTACAATTTACTTAAAGCGCAAGCGCGAACAAATAGCGGTCAAGGATTGGTATGAGAAATTGCCAAAATAATTTATCTCAACTTTTCGTTTTGCAGTCACTGAACAAAGCAACAAATTAACAATGATTAATTGCGTTTGTGAGTTGACTAAGCATTTAACAGGGTTTGAACATTCACTGCACTTATATTTCTAAGTTCAGATAACAAATAGCAAGTTGGGTTTTTTACAGTGTGATTCTTATCTTTAAGCGTCTGCGTGGGTGTAAACATACTGAAACTGTAAATCAGGTGCCAGAATATTGGCAAAGAAATATTAGAAATTAAAATGCAAAAGCAAATCCAATTGAAATGTATAAGAAATGCCTAAATTCAAACTAGACTTGCTTATTAAACAGAGATTTGCTAATGGACCCTTCAATTTAGACTTGTGTTTGCAATTTCTCACATTGAATTGTAAAAAAACACTTTTATATTTGCAAATCTTGAGTAGTACATTTTAAGATCCTAAATTGAAGACACTTGCTACAGTTATATTCTTCGTAAAGGACTGAAATAATGGTTTTTCCTGATTCAACGGCTGCAGCTCAAGTTGGAACCAAGATATATACACTTGTTATTTACAGTAAAAGCACTATTCCCAGGGTTAAGTGCGGGTCCATGAATGTTGTCTTTGAGCTCCGCCATTACGATAAAGAATGTGTGGAATTTAATGAACAGTGGCTCAGTTATGGCCTCACTTTTCCGTCACCTTTGCCGCTTCCTGCTCACGGCGCCGTCACACCAGCCTCTACGGGAGCAGATCTAAATAAAGAAACATTTGTGTTGGTAATGTGGTTGTGGGGTGTTTCAATAATAAACAGCAATAAACAGCTGCGCTAAGGGGAGCAAACAAGTTGTGACATTTTGGGACTTACGGATGCAGATTGTGCTTTATATTGCATGGTGACAAATCTTTTCTTTTATTTAATTTATTTATGAATGAAAAATACTCAATTAGTTTAGAGAAATTTGGCTGAAATATCTAACAGTGGCTTTGCATTGCAGGATGAGACACATTCTCTATGGGGTAAAATCAAGTGTTCCTCAGATTAGAGACCCTCCATGTTAGACTTAGATCTAAATTATTTCTCAAACTTACCCCTCCACATGAGAGGGTGAAATGTAATCCGCATTTTTTTTGTGGTCATACTTCCCGTCAGACCTCTGAAGCTGTGCAGGGCAGAGCATGGTTAGTACTGTGATGGGAGACCTCTGGAACACCAGGTGCCACAGTGGGGCGGCTGCGGCTGTAAAGTGCCAAATTGTCGCTGTGTCTTTCGGCAAGACACTGCACCCACATTGCTTAGAATGAGTCTGGTGTGTGTGTGTGAATAGTTAGTGGTGGTCGGAGGGGCCGATGGCACACACTGGTTGCCTTGCTTCTGTCAGTGTGCCTCAGGGCAGCTGTGGCTACAGTAGTAGTTTATCACTACCGAATATAGAGTGAAAGAAAAATGACATGTGAAGTGACCTTTGAGTGTCCTGAAAAGCGCTTTGTAAAACCGATGCATTATTATTGTTAAGCAACGTCGCCTTTAAGCTTAACCAATGAAATCATAATTAATTTTATTTGCTTGTTTTATTATTTTTGTCTGTGAGTACGTCTGTCTGTGAATAATTATTTGTTAATTTTTTGCATGTTTGAAATAGACAAACATATGAAAAAAGATTAGCAGCAGCAGCAGTAGTAGAAACAGCAGAAGTAGTAAAAACAGTAGAAGCAGCAGCAGCAGTAGTAGCAGCAGCAGTAGCAGCAGCAGCAGTAGTAGAAACAGCAGAAGTAGTAAAAACAGTAGAAGCAGCAGCAGCAGTAGTAGCAGCAGCAGCAGCAGCAGTAGTAGAAACAGCAGAAGTAGTAAAAACAGTAGTAGCAGCAGCAGCAGTAGTAGCAGCAGCAGTAGCAGCAGCAGCAGTAGTAGAAACAGCAGAAGTAGTAAAAACAGTAGAAGCAGCAGCAGCAGTAGTAGCAGCAGCAGTAGCAGCAGCAGCAGTAGTAGAAACAGCAGAAGTAGTAAAAACAGTAGTAGCAGCAGCAGTAGCAGCAGCAGTAGCAGCAGCAGCAGTAGTAGAAACAGCAGAAGTAGTAGAAACAGTAGAAGTAGCAGCAGCAGTAGCAGCAGCAGCACTAGCATCAGCACTAGCAGCAGCATCAGCACTAGCATCAGCACTAGCAGCAGCATCAGCACTAGCATCAGCACTAGCAGCAGCAGCATCAGTAGCATCAGCACTAGCAGCAGCAGCATCAGTAGCATCAGCACTAGCAGCAGCAGTAGCATCAGTAGCATCAGCACTAGCAGCAGCAGTAGCAGCAGTAGCATCAGCACTAGCAGCAGCAGCATCAGTAGCATCAGCACTAGCAGCAGCAGCAGCAGCACTAGCCGCAGCAGTAGCAGTAGCAGCAGCAGTAGCAGCAGCAGTAGCAGCAGCAGCATCAGTAGCACGGTGGCTGAGTGGATAGCACTCTCGCCTCTCAGCAAGAAGGTCCTGGGTTCAAATCCCGGTTGGACCAGGGCCTTTCTGAGTGGAGTTTGCATGTTCTCCCCGTGTCTGCGTAGGTTTCCTCCGGGTGCTCCGGTTTCCCCTACCACTAAAAATATGTACAATAGGTCTGGCATGTGCCTCCTGTACTGGCACCCCCACTCCCAAAAAATAACAATTGTAAACCGCTTTGAGACTCCAATGTGCAGTGAAAAGGCGGTATATAAATAAAGATTACTACTAGCATCAGCACTAGCAGCAGCAGTAGCAGCAGCAGCAGCATCAGCACTAGCAGCAGCAGTGAAGTATTTATAGGTTACCTTTGGCAGTGAGCTGTCATTACCACAGTGCTGGGTCCTCTCAGAGTTGGGGTCAGTGTTGTTGCCAGCGCGGCCTCTAAAGCTTTTGTGGCTCTGGCTGTTTGTGTGGACAATAACACTGGACAATAAAACTAGAATAAATCAATTACTTTTTACCTTCCCAAAGGTTTTTTTGCTTCAAAATTCAACAGCAGAAATATTCACAGGCGCTTTTGAAGGTTTACCTTTTGAAGCGAAACTAGACAAAATATGCTCCGTATGATGCATCTCACATTGTTATTTCTCATTTATTTTCCTCCTGGGGTAAAAGTTCCCAGCATCCTTTGCAAAACTGGGCACATAATGAGGTAACTAAAGAA